AAATTTTAGTATTTCGACTAATTAGAGATCCCAATTAGGATAAAATTTATGGTAGGCTTACCAAGCGTAGGCAAATCCCAGAAAGGCTTTCAGGGGAGGTTTTTATACACCAGTGGGAGCTACTGATTGATAATGATGACGTTAATGATGATAATGATATTGATGGTGATTATGAAACAATGAATGTTTGAAAAATGATGTTAGATATTTGTCAGTAAATGTTGAATTTTGTATTTAATCAAATTGGCTAGACGTTGTTTTCTGAAACAGTAATGAACTGTTAAATAAAGGACTTGAGTGACAGCTAAGTGACAGAGCGCTAAACTTTGTTATCAAATCTTTAATTTGAAGTTGCCCAATTTTGGGTATCTTATTTTATTTTGCTTTGTAACACTACGCTGTTTCAGTTTGACAAAATATCTGACGTTATTAATTGTCGAATTAATATGACGGTCGTTTACACGTGGAGCACTATGTTTTCAATTACATTCGATTTGAGACTGGATAAATAATATTTTTGATTTTATAAACTTCAACAAAAATAACTCTAATTAGCTAGTTCTCTTTAAAACTAGATGCTATAGCCGAAATCGACGCAATGAGACACGTGTCAAAGAATTAAAAATAGCAACGGTTATCGTCAGACATTTGACGACAGATATTTTGAAAGTTCACTAAAAAAATACCGCTAGTAAAATAAACACGAACAAAAATAGACTTCCCGGTCTCCTAATAACTAAATCGTTGGTGTTGGGATGTGTTGACATGACAGCGGTGGCCGGTGTTAGGACGCGACACGCCCAACTATTTCATTACCGGCTTAAATTTCTTCCATTAGGTAATCTACACACAAACCTCCGTTTGTTTAACGGAAAAATGGAATTAGCCAGAGTATAGCGTGGGACTTCTAGTTAAAAGGCAGTCAGTATTAAACGTTAGATTATAAATTATTTTCAAAAAAAATTCAAACACTGTCGTTTTAGTTTTACATTCAAAATGAAATTTTAAGGTTTACAATACAGTACCAACATGCTTTTGATGTCTTAAATAAATTGATAAATTAATAAAATAATGTTTTAAAAATTTTAAAATAACTTCTATTAATCAAAAGTACCAGTACCAGTATTATCACTTTTACCGAAGCACTCACCGTGTACCAGCCTCCAGCAAACAAATTCACTTCTTCGCCTTGTTTCCTTAAAAAGTATTTATACAAAATAAAGCTACATTTACGCAGCCACACTTGTGGCAAAAATCCTTTGATTCATTAACCTTTGAATCATTAATAAGGACCGCCGAAATTACCTTCTAATTAAGATTTAATTAGAGGTCAGAGGGACGCTGAAAAAATATTCATCCCCCAATTAAATTTATTCTGTGGTAAGTGAGACTATTAATTAGCTTCCCGTTGGAGGAAAAACTTTGGAAACAATTTAAAACCAAAAACGAGATAAAGAACGTAATTTGTGAAATAATACAGAAGAAATCTATAAATATGAATAGGTAATTTTCTTGAAGTTATCGTTCACATTTTAACATTTATCTACAGCAGATAAAATAAGGTCAAAAATTGCGTTAAACTGACATAAATGTTTAGGCATTTCTACCCTTTTAAGAACAACACATTGATTTCGATTACAATCGATAAACACAAAAACTACCAATAATTCGGAACAGAAGCAAAACCAATTTACGACATAAAAGCCTAGATTGGCGCTATGACCTCAATCAGATTTATATAAAAGATACCAAAATCGATCAAATAATAGCTGGTATTACGAATTACTAGTAAGAACTAAATCGTACATGCAAGAGGAACATTACAAAGTAATAAGTAATCATTTGCCATTGTGATTTAGGCATGAAATAGGTCGTTCGTTTTTCTATGAAAACACGCAACTGGTTGATAAGCTAAAGGTCTACTTTCCACGACGCGTCATTTGACGAATGTATGCGTTCGTCAAATGTCGATAGGCAGATTTAATGTTGCCGCTTCGTTGACAGTTTTCATTGATTATAAGCAAGATGTAAGTATTTGTCATAATTTGTAGGCCACCTTCTGTCGCTTGACGGGCACGTGCATTCGTTAAATGACGCGTCGTTGACAATAGGTGTTAGTTTTTGAATACTTTGTTTCAATAGGGTGGATGCCTTATTTTTATTTTAATGTTCGTCTGGTAGATTATTTTAAATCATTAGACAAGTTTTTTTTATTTTCTTACCTCTACAGAAACGAATACTTTCGACGATATATTGATTTGAAATGTCTCGTTACGTCACTTCTATGTACATTTTATACGTAGAAATGACGTTTTAGCCCCCATTCCTAAACTTTGATTCCTTTTATCTAAGTATTGTTTTATTATACGACAAAATAAAAAAATACGTGTCTAATATTTTTTCATTACCTAACTTACGGACTAATTATATTTTTAATTTTTATACCCTGTCATCGTCCCAATTACGAATGTTTGACGGAGTAAGAGATTATAAATTTAAAAAAAATTAAACGAATTGTCGCTTAATATCTCAAAAACCTAGAATAAAAAGAACGTGTAGACGATAGACACCATGTGTTTGAAAACACATTCGTGACCTGACTACACGCACGTAACGTCTAATTTTGAAATGATATCCTTGTCAAACATTTTCAACAGCTGCCGGATAACATAAAGCATAAATATTTTTCGTCAAATTAATATCAATCATTGTTATATTTTAAACTATTCATATTTATATTCCGACGCGTGTTGACAGATATAACTCAACAGTTTTATTGAAACAAGAAGATGATTTGATGGAAATATAATTTACTTTCATTACTGTCTCTCTGGTGGAGTGTTCGTAAATGCGATCTAATTCTAGATCCTAAGTTCAATCTAGATATTTTTTCGATTACGAAATTCTTAGTAATGGAAGTCTAGAACTGTAGGTAACTAGTTTTTTGGAAACAGTCTCGACCTTTCATGAAACATAATTTACTTTGTGTCATTACTTTTAATTGATTAGGCGTATGTAAGTACACATGGCTACACATCAAGCTTTACATAACCAGTATAAACTGAACGTTAAATGTGCGGAAAAATGATGCGACGCGACACCAGGATAAACTGGTTTTGTATAGATTGATGTGTGGCCGTGTGTACGGATACGCGTAAATTTCTAATCATTAATTTCCTTGATTGATTAACTAAAATGTAATATATCAATGTGTTCAAAATTGACGTGATTAACATATAAATTGCAATACAGGGTGTTACCGCCCTAAAAGGCTTGGTTAAATTCTGAAGCCAATCCTACTCAATCCGGAATATCGATAGTATCGAGGGTCGCATAGACTCGATAGATATCTGCCTCTAGTGTATAGATAATAGGCTGTTCTCTTTGTCCATTTATTTATTAAACGTCTACGCCAGGCGGGCAGACGCTGACCCAACGTAAAACCTGTTTTTATATTGTAACAGATAGGGTCTTGGATATTGTAGTTTCTTTCTGAGGTTGATAAATTATTTGAAACGCTCAGGTTGTGTCTCTAAGAATGTTGAGATTGCGATACAATTGGGTATTTGCCAACTAGTCAAATTCAATACTTTTTTCAAATTGTCAAAAACGACAGTTTTCTATGAATTTTGTACGAGATTGTGTATTGTGACGTCACGTTTTTTTAGCGTCAAACAGTATACTTATTTCTTAAAAATGTGCTGGAAAAATAATAAAATTAAGTTGGTCATATAATCAATCAATGAAAGTGAATTTTGAATATTTTATTATATTGAATAGTCGAAATAATTTATTGTTGACTAGCTGTGCCTGCGACTTCGTTCGCGTGGAATAGTGACTATGAGCAGCGTTTTTTTTTTTAATATATACTCACTTCTTTAATTTGACATAACTTTTTTATTTATGAACCGATTGACATGAAACAAACACTAAAGCATAACTGAAGCATACCACAATATATTCGTGAAAACCGCATCCAACTCGGATCAGCCGTTTCTGAGATTAGCGTGAACAGACAAACAGACAAAAAAAAGTTAATTACATTTTTGGGTTCGACATCGACATAACAATAACCCCTGCTATATTTTTTATTTTTATTTTTAATGTACAGACAGCACTTTTCTACAATTTTATTATATGTATAGATATAGATAGATTAAGGCAAATACCCAAATGTCAGATGTTTTGCCATAGTCCTTCTTTTCTCCTTGACCATTGATGCCACTATTCAAATTAATTTTAGAATTAATTAAAAAAAGGTCGATAGCAAAGACAAGTAACTTCAAGACAAGAGAAGAGAGAAAGAATAAAGTCTTGTTAAAAAGTTTATACAAATACAAAGCAAACATTTAATTAGTGTTTTGACAGTCTGGAACGGCTCTTAAACCTAGTTTTAGGAACGTAGAACGATAACCCTACACGTGTTTACAGTAAAGAGGATCTACTTTAAAATGGCCCTTTTATAAAATGTTATTCAAACTAGACCAGAGACTTTAACCTTTGTTTCTTTTACCTGTTTGTTTAACATTAACAAAATCCAGTTAGGTACATTCAAAATTAAAACCTTTGCCATTTACTTTAAAATACAAATTGAACGCACCAGGTGTACAAATACCCAGTATCTATTGTCTTTTAATTCCATTATGTAAATATTGGGAACCTAATAAATAAATATAATTATTTCTATACATAGTTCATATACGGTAGCTAAATTGTTTGCATGCTCCATAATAAAGTGGCTTTTGTGTTCATTAATAAATTGCCGACTGTTATTTCACTGTGCCGATACAAATAGTTTATTTATAAGCAAAATTTGTAACCGCAGATTTAAAATTTATAATTTAAAATGATGGTGTGATCACCACAGAGTAGAATATGTTTATGGAGGTTATAGCAGACCTCTTTTATGTAGAGGAGGTCCATAGTCCAGCACTGGACTATCATGGGCAGTTGATTATAATGTAACTACAAAAAATAAATCAATTTCTCCTTTGTCCACAGGCAGGGCTCCATGCTACGATGCTGGACGACTTGGTGCCCACGCTAGCGACCAACAAGACTACGGTTCCAGGCCACGACCACACCTTCTACGTCACTTTCTTCGATGAACATAACAACAAATATATCAACCAAAGCCAAAATGGCACTGAGGTAAGAGAAATAAAGTGACTACCTAATTTTAAAAAGGTTTTCAATCATTTATAATGTAGGTAATGCCCATTGTTGGTGGATGGGTTTTTATTTTTGAGGGGGGAAATCACTCAATGTCTTCTCCTACTTTGGGTTAGACCAGAGAGTGTCAGACTCTTACTGAATAAAACTACTTCGTTCCTACTCCTTGGTGGATGGGTAATCGACTGCTGCGCGACCCTGATTTTTTTCTATGATCCCAGTTTGATATCCAAGTTTATAATCTACGTGACGAAAGCTTTTGTAAACGTACTCTTGATTATAGTGAAATAGCTGAACTGTGAGTCCCAAGTTAGTTTTTAATTTCAAGTTCGTTCCCAAAATTGGACATAGAATTAACGTTTCGCAATTCCTAAGATGTCAGTCATGGAATCAAAAAAAGAACGTTAATCGATGTTAGGTTATAAATAGGCTTGCTTATTATGTCAGTGCCTGACTGAACCTTTCTCTATATGAACATATTCACTTATGATTTTCAAATACAAAAAGCTTGTACCTACATGTACAATGCACCCTACCCAAGCTTTATCTTTCAACTGTCGCGTACTTAAGAGACAGCAATCAACTCTTATCTACCTCTTCTTATCTATGCTGACGCGTCAAGTGATGAAAAGCTTACCGTGAAGCGCGGTTTATTTTGAAAAGTATTCTATACCATCTATTCAGGGTAGATTTTTCATAAAGACAATATAAGATCTGAGTAGGTCTATGACCAGCTACCAAACTGTAGCGGTGTTCTCTAAATTTTATGTAACCTAACGACGATGTCCAAGATTTTGTTCAATTGTGGACTGTTTTTAAGCTGTTTAATTAAGAGACTGACATTAATTAGCCAACTTATAATTTGAAGGCTCTATTATAATCACAAATGGTAAGAACTGACATGGTTTTACCTGATTAATTATCATAAATGAGGTAAAACCACATCAGTTCTTTTTTAAATTTACACCTGAATTGAGGCGTATATACAAAATGTAAATTCACTTTAATTCTTTTAATTATGAAAGGTCATTTACAAGACTGTCCCTTTTGTAGTTTATTTTTTTAATTTTTCAGAAATTTTGAGTCTGACAACATAAACTATTAAAACGCAGTGTGAGTAATTACAGAATGTTTTCCTGAACGACCAATTCTGCTTTAGTCTTTGTTAAAAATCAAATGCTTTGTAACAATATTAGACCACATTATTCACTAGAAACATATGTACATAGAAATGTGCTACTTGAAGTGAATTATTAGCAACACGGTGCAGTGTTAGAGAATAGATAGATGTGTCTTCAACAACCGACTCACTACATTCTTGCTTGTTCTACTCTTACAAATGTTTCTAAAAAGGTATATAAATAATAGTAAGGTATAAAAATAATAGACTGCCTCGTTGGCCGAGTGGTCGCAAGTGCGACTGCCGGGCAAGGGGTCTCGGGTTCGATTCCCGGGTCGGGCAAAGTATTACTGGGTTTTAAAAAAAAATCTCAGTAGTAGCACGGAGTCTGGATATGTGCCCAGTATATGGCAATAGGCTCACCCCCTATTACATGGGACTCATAACATAAATAGTGAAAAGTAGGTGTTACATTGTACAGTGGCATAATGTGCACCTTTGCCTACCCCTTCGGGGATAAAAGGCGTGATATTACGTTATGTTAAAAATAATAGTACTGGTATTATGTAGACAATAGTTTTTGCCCGTGGCATCGATTCCTTTAATTAGGTACACATTATAATCCTTCCTCTTAAACCACTCTTCTATTATTCATCTAGGGTCGCCATTGACCCTCACGACAGCCTATGCATCCCCATCATATTGATGGTCGGCAGGCCACAACTGTGCGCCTTTCACGTAGCTTCCTGCCTCGCACAGAAAAACTGTGGAATGATCTATCGTCGACGGTATTTCCGAACCGATACGACCTTCAAACCTTCAAGAAAAGAACTGAGAATTAAAAAGGTTATTGTTATGTTGGTGGATTGTCAAATTGTAGTCGGATTTATTTTACTTGGATTTATTACAATAATGTGCAGGGCGCACGGCGTGTACACACACTAGAGTATGATGGGTAGACAGCAACGTTAATAATGAGTGTCCTACCTTATATAACACATTATAGTGAGGGGGTCACTACTTACTAATTAGTGATGTTAGACTAAAGATACATGTAACAGTTATGAAAACTTGTTAGTTAGGTAGAAGAAAGGTGGCAAAGGCGCTTTTTACGAGCATTTTTTGACAAATATCCTTTCAGTAGATTGAAAGAAATATCTTCATAGAAAGAGGTAAATATTGCGCTTTAAGAGTTTTGTAAAAACTCTATAAAAATCACCTCTACATATTTTCGTAAATACGATCCAAAATTATACAGCAACAACACTTCAATTGAGGACTCATTCTGAAAAACATATTTTGTACGAAACTTTTATTTTCGTATCCAGTTTTATATTGTTAAATTTTTATTGTTCTCGAACAAATACCTCGTAGCGTACGTTAATGTGTACTGTGGTAGAAGCTAGACAGGAAATTTAATAACGTTAGGCACTGAAATCAAAACAAAACTAAAACACACGATTGGCTCCATTGAAACAAAATTGAAACAAACTGTCGTAGTCTCAGTAAGAACTGTGAATTGAAAAATATTTGTATTTATTGTGAATCGTATGGTATACGTCAAAGGTCTAACCAAATCGTAGGTAGGTATTCAGTACGGCATTCCTTCATATTCCTCGCCTTGTTGAAGAGAACGGGTCTATGAAATGATAAGCATAATTCAAGTCCTTGAAATTTTCGAGAATTTTGAAATATTGAGGCTGACCCGGGGATACAAACAGATGAAACAGACAGACAGATGCAGAAGGGTATAAGAACTTTTTTTTAAACATTGGACCACATTAGTATTTTCTTCTGTGTCGTGGTTGCGTTTACAAACATATACAAATTCACATGCACATGACAACCTGACCCGAAACAACAATTTGTGAATAATTTTTAAATTCCATACAAAATCAAAGAATTGCTCCGTGCGGCAATCCAACCCACTACAAGTTGCGCGGCAGCCGATTGCCCAGCCTACACGCCAATCGTGCAGTCAATATGTAAAGAGAAATTTGTTTTTTTTTTGTCTAACGCTAGTTACTTCTCTACAGGCCTACCAGTCGTTCATCCTGCCATGGTGGCGCCAAGTGCTATGGACGGTGCTGTTCGCCGGCATGGTCGTGGTGGCCACCGTGGGGAACCTCGTCGTCATCTGGATAGTACTCGCCAACAAACGGATGAGAAGCGTCACCAATTACTTTTTAGGTAATATATTAGGAATTATTTTATTGTGACAGTATTATAATACTTACGTTTTATATTTATGGTATAGATAGTATTAAAAGTAATTTTTAAATCAAGTTGCTTGATAGAAAGAGAAGTATACGTACTCTACATTAGACTATCCCAAATCCCGTGTTTTTGTTGAAATATCAGGGGATTTTATGCCAAATTATGATTAGGAATAAGTCAAAGTTAATGTAAAATGTGTGTTGCAGTTAATAAAGCTACTAAAATGAAAGCAAATTGAATTTACGCAGGTAATTGTAACTGATTAAAATATGAGTGCAACAACTAATTGCCAAATATAACATATAAATTACAATAATATTAATTATATGCAGCAACACTTTCTTAATAAAAAATCAACAAAACATGAAGACAACTTCGTTTAAAACCTCGTATGCAAAATTTGGGCGACGACAGCGACGCTTTCATAATGTGTAAATGTGAAGGCTGCATTCTCCCGCATCGCTTTTAATTACTGAAGCCCCTTCCGGCTTTTAGTTCGAAATAAAACGAAGGCAACGTCACAGCGAAGAGATTTAACTAATATAATGTGGAAGTTTGCGTATTAAATTTCTTTACATTATACTTGATACACTGTTAACTTTTTGTTTACCATTATAACTTCTTTTAATACTTGGAGTATTAAGATTAGGTACGCATAGAAAAATACGATGTAACATCGACTTTACACCACTTACATCATAAATACTATGTAAAAGGGGTCGGATATTGCTATATAGGGTGATCTATCACCCAACGAAGTGCCGTATTATCATACTCATGCCAGAAGCGATTCTTCTACAAAATGTAGCGGCTAATCAGAAATTTTCTTCCCCAGTGAACCTGTCGGTAGCAGACGCTATGGTATCAACCTTAAACGTGACCTTCAATTTCACATATATGCTGAACTCTGATTGGCCGTTTGGACACTTCTATTGCAAGTTCTGCCAGTTCATCGCTGTGCTCAGCATATCGGCGTCAGTGTTCACGTTACTGGCTATCAGTATGGACAGGTGAGTCACGGCTTACTTTTATTTTTTTTTAAGAAAATGTGTACTCATATACCCGTTAGGTGCTCCGCGACATACATATAGATGTATGTCGCGGAGCACCTAACGGGTAACTGGGGCTCCGGCTCGATGTGCAGGAGAAGGAACGGGGTGGTTTTTAGTCAGTGAGAGTCTGACACTCCCTCCCGCCTCACCCAGGCGGAAGCAGTCATTCGATGATTTTCCCTCATAAAAAATGGCTATATGTATGTAGCCGAAATAAATAATACATCATAATCCAAAATCTTTGGAGTAAGATCGAATTTTGACATAAGTTGTTTGCACTTTCTGCCAAAAATTTTGATCAGGCTAAATAAAAATTTTTTCAGCTTAATCCTGACCAAAGATTTAATAGATCGGTTATTAATTTCCAGGTAAAGTCATTCTGTAAATGAAAGAACCTAGTATCAGTACTCAGTTGACATTAAAAACGTTTGACTATCCGTATGGTTGATTTTTTAAGATTTAAAGCAGTAAACTTACAGCCCAGCTGATAAAAAGAAGTAGGTAATTGTAGCATTTAAATGTCAGTATTTTTTTTCTCTTCTGCTACACACTATGCAGTGGCGTGCAGTCCATATAGGCAAAAAGACTGACTAACATACTAATGCCGTGAATAACATTACGTAATAAATTATATGAACTAATAATTTGACTACAGAATACAAAAATAATAGATAATTAAAATAAAAATAGTAAACGCCTAAAATAAACTGCAACAATGATTTCACACGTCACGCGATACGTGTTGCATTTCGCCAGTATTATATTGCTGTAAACATTAACGAGCGAAGCAGGCAAGTGGTTCCGTTGCCTTTAATCCATATATGTATAAATTTATGCGTGCAGTGGTAAACGTCATTGTGTGTGTAGTGCACAGACACGTTAATTTTATCGTCGCAAAGCTTGCCTGCAGGCACGGTCTGACGACCTGTGATTGAAGTTCGCCACGAGCCGACCAATCACGGACCGTGATTGGTTATCATAATCAGTAAGTTGATGAAATATTTCACAAAAACAACGAGAGATGGCACTGTTACAAAGACTTGACGAAGGAATAAAAAATCCTCATATCTTGAATTATGTTATGTATTTAGATATGATGAGTTTAATTATAATACAATATTATGTTGTCTACCCTGTTCTGAAACCCTGTGCACGCCACTGCACTATGTCATATGTTTTAATTACATTTCCTGTGTCAGGTCAGGTCAAATTCAAACAGGAATAAGTAGCGCCTATGTGCTCGAATTTTACAAGTCGTGTTGTCCTCTATGCTGTTTGTACGTGTACATGAATTATTAAATAAATAAATGATTACAGTTTTCTTTACAATGAAAATGTAATGAAATGTGAAAGTAGAATATTCAGTCAGCAGCTTCAATTATTAGTTAGTTATTCTACGAATTCAACTTTTCCTAATAAATTGATATTTGATATGAATATGCGACAGGGCATTATGAACAGGGGATTAAAGAGTACACTACCCCAGGAGGGTACCAGCTCCGCTGGAGAATCCCTCCCTGAGCATGATTGCTCAGGCAGCCCCGTCGTATCTGGGGGGGGCGAAATTCCCGACGGCGACGTGCTCTGCCACACGTCACGTTTTGTCTCCCCGTGCGTAGGCAGAAAGCGGACTGAGGTTTGCCTTTTTGCTACACTGAATGTGTGTGGAGGTGTAGAAGGCAAGATGTTAGAAATATGTGAGATGATGAATACAAGAAAGATTGATTTGTTAGGGGTGAGCGAGACGAAAAGAAAGGGTTGTATGACTACCACGCATGGCCAATATATTGCTTACTGGTCTGGTGTTGCAAGTTCCCAGAGAGGCAGCCAGGGCGTGGGGGTCATACTATCTGAAAGGATGAATGAATGTGTGAAAGAGTATGAATGTGTGAGTCCCAGGATACTTTGGATCCGCCTTAAAGTTGGCTTGACCAAATTATTTGTCATCTGTGCGTATGCCCCGGACATGTCAAAGCCAATTGGGGTGAGGGAAGTATTCTGGGATAACTTGAGAGATGTTCTTAATGAATGTAAAGAGAATGAAAGAATAATTATGCTTGGAGATTTTAATGGATGGGTTGGAGTGGCACGCGATGGGTACGAAAGAGTATTAGGGCGATTTGGAGACGAACGAGTGAACGAGAATGGTGTATGTCTTCTGGATATATGTGTAGAAAAGGAACTTGTTGTGACCAACACAACATTTGGTCACAAGAAGATACACATGTATACATGGCAGAGGCATACAGAAAGAAGTATGATTGATTTTGTGATTGTTGATGAACGCCTGAGGACAAAAGTGAAGGATACAAGGGTTTACCGTGGCACGAATGTCGGAAGCGACCACTTCCTAGTAATTACCAGAATAGCTGGACTGACAATGAAGTGGAGACATCGGCCACGGGTAAAGTTGCCTGGAACCGAGAGAGTGAGAGTTGAACGGTTGAGAGAAGAGGAAGTTAGGGACCAGTACAGGAAATTATTAAATGAAAGGTTTAGGGAGCTAATGAAAGGTGACGAATGGAATATAGAAGAATTTTGGAAGGAATTTAAGGATGGAGTGATCGCAGTAGCTACTCAAGTATGTGGGGTAAGCAAGAAAAATAACACTGGAAGCAAGAGGAATGAATGGTGGGATGATGAAGTAAAAGAGGTGATAGAGCAAAAGAAGAAAGCATGGCTTGACTTATTAGCCTCAAAGGCAAATAGGAGAGTGCTAGAAAGTATGAAAGAAAAGTACGTAAGTCTCAAAAAGAGAGCAAAAGCGGTAGTTAGCAAGAAGAAAAATGAATGCAAGGAAAAGTTTGAAAGGAATTTTTCGCAGAACTTTCGAGCCAACGCTAAACTATTCTGGCATTTAGTTAGAAGGGCCAGAGGCAAAGTGGGGGACTCGAAAGTAAGTACGATAAGGGATATAAATGGGAGTGTCATTGGAGAAAGTAAGGATGTTTTAAAGCAGTGGAAGGAATACTTCGAGAATTTATTTGAAAGGAGTGATTTGAAAGAAGAGGAAGTAAACGATGAGAATGAAAGTGCTAATGTGGGAGAAATAAATATGGATGAAATTGTGAGTGCCATTAAGAGTTTGAAAGTAGGTAAAGCAGCGGGATGTGATAGGATAACTTCTGAAATGCTAACAGAGGGTGGAGGTGTAATTGCAAGCCTGCTGTATCTACTTTTTAATAAGTGTTGGCGATGCGGTCGTGTCCCGGGAGACTGGGCCAAGGCCGTAATTGTGCCACTATATAAAGGAAAAGGATCACAGCAGGAGTGCAAAAATTATCGCGGTATAAGCCTCCTAAGCGTAGTAGGAAAGTTGTATGCCAAGGTATTGATCGAAAGAGTGATGGATGTAACTGAGCGTAAAATCTGGGATGTGCAAGCGGGATTTCGAAAGGGAATGGGGTGTACGGATCAAGTCTTTTCGTTACGGTGCATTTCAGAGAAAGTGTTATCAAAGCACCAAAAGGTATTTTGTGCCTTTATAGACCTAGAAAAGGCTTATGACAGAGTGGTGAGGGATGAACTGTGGTCAACTCTGTCCATGTATGGGGTGGATAGCCACCTGATTCGGGCACTTAAATCCTTATATAAGGACTCGAGTGCCTGTGTCAGAATAAATGGGGACTACACGGAGTGGTTTGACATTAATCGCGGTGTTAGGCAAGGCTGTGTAGCATCTCCTTGGCTGTTCAACCTATTTATGGACAGTTGTTTGAACGACCTGAAAGTAGGAGAGCCTGGATTAAGGATGAATGACACAGTGATTAAAACATTGTTGTATGCCGACGACCAGGTGCTTGTTGCCTCGTCGGCCCAAGAATTACAACAAATGGTCACTGTTATGAGTGATGCATTTGAAAGGAAAGGTATGAAAATAAATGTGAACAAGACGAAAGTGTTGGTGATAGAAAGAAATGAGGTGATAACAGAATGTCAGGTAATGATAGGTGATGAAAAATTGGAACAAGTGAATGAATTTGTGTATCTGGGATCACTATTTACGAGAGATGGAAAGTGTGACGGGGATATTGAAAGGAGAGTGAAAGCGGGAAATAGTGTTAATGGTGCTTTACACTCTGTAATGTCGAGTAAAATAATATCCAGCAAAGCTCGACTTGCTGTAATGCAGTGTGTATTGACACCAACGCTTATGTATGGTAGTGAATCATGGGTGTGGCAGAAGAAGCATGAAAGCAGGATTAATGCGGTGGAAATGAGAGCCCTGAGAAGTATGTGTGGACTAAAATTGAGTGATCGAGTGAAAAATAGTGTTATTAGAGAGAGGTGTGGATTGAAAGACGATGTAGTGACAAGGATTGAAAAGGGAATGTTACGCTGGTTTGGACATGTAGAAAGGATGGATGAAAGTAGAGTAACGAAAGAAGTATACAGAGCGGATATGAATGGAGCCGTCGGTAGAGGGCGCCCTAGACGGACATATAGTGACCAGATTGGCGATATATTAAAGAAGGGCCAAATTAAAAGTACCCTTAACCGACGAGCATGCATGAAAAGATTGATGACTGTTAATGAAGCGAAAGAGGTATGTAAGAATCGTAGTAATTGGCGTTCCTTAGTCTCTGCCTACCCCCATGGGAGACAGGCGTGAAGTTATGTATGTATGTGTATGTTGATATGAATAATGTTTCCCCCGTTTGAAAGGAATTCATGTGTAACACGAAAATATGTTACTTGATTTTTTCCTCGTAGGAAAATCGTCAAAGAAAAGAAATTTAATTTAGCCATTTTCATGGGTATTTACATAAAAATCATCGCGTCATATGTTGGTGTAAAATACACAAATTGGACGTATGTACAAGATATAGAGTTTATTGTTGCAAACAATTTACAAACATAAGTGGAATAGGTACTTTTAGAGGCGTTTTTCTGTATTAGTAAGTATTTTAAAATATTACTAAAATATAATTCATTTTACACTTCGTTTCATTTTATTCTCCGTAACAAGCATGCGTTGCAAGCAATTTAATCTGTGTTCTGCGAAGCTATCTTCAAAAACACTACTACTAATTTCAGAATTTAAAGCCAACAAACTAAATAAATTTACGTATATAACACCTATTTCTTTCCCCCAATATTGTGTCAACCGATAACAGAGCAGAAAATTTATGAAGCTAGCAAGTATGAAAGCGATAGACAGCACTGAACTGATACACCTATTTTCAATGAATAAGCTCTAACGTAGGAAATCCATTAACTAGGTATATTCATCGCTGTGGCTTTTAGCGGCCCCGTCCTTGTCACCACCACCACACCCCGCCTTCCTCACTTATCACTACTATTCAAATAAAAAGACTTTAATGTTCTAGCAAGCGATGCAATAATAGCAATAATAATAATATAGATAAACCTAGAGTATACCTAAATCTTGCACAAGCAATTAATTATGGTCATGCAGACTATACGTGTGTTCAAAATTTCAGCTTAATCTATTGAAGATATCTGCCTCAAAATTTAGTTGCGAGATTTCATTTCACATTCATACAATAGGTACATTTAAATCAAAACTTGTAGCTAAAATATACCTACCTCAACAGCACAGAACCAAAGCTAGTTTTGGAACTAAACCTGCATTCACACTGAGACAGCGTTATTTTATATGCATCCCGAATCATAAAACAGCTATAGAAAAGATTTATTTCCTCATCCCAGTCGTTAGGATCAAGTATTAAAAATTATTACTTCAGATATCTCTAGGGGTTTCAACGCCATCCTGACCTCATTACCCTAAGGCTATCAAATAAGTTATGGCAACCCTACATACCTTGTTTTAAATTTTACAGATATGACAAACTTGTCCCTTATTTACTAGGGACGCACCCCATTTTTGCACGGTTATTAGTGGGCCTCTACTATATTATGTTCTATATGTTATAAATTAAAAGTACTCTTAACAGACGAGCATGCATAACAAGACTGATGATGAATTGTAGCAATGGGCGTTCCATAATCCGCTCTGCATCTGCCTCCTCCATGGGAGACCGGTAAGAAATTATGTATGTATGTACCTATGTATGTTGAACCTTCCTTCCTTCGTGCAGATACGTGGCCATCATGAGTCCCCTTCAACCGAGACTTGGCAAGCGAGCAACTTTAGGCATCACAGCCGCTATCTGGGTGTGGAGCTCAATCCTCAGCGCCCCTAACCTGATCTACTTCACCACAGAAATGGACTACCTACCTGACGGATCAATAAGGTATTATTTGTTATTTTTTGTTTGTTACTTTCTTCGATAAACAACACATCTCCTTTGAATAAAGCATAAAAGTAAACCTACGTCTACAAATCAAGTTACCCATTATAATAACTAACACATTGAAATTCTGAAGCCCCTCAAATAGCGTCTGGATTGTTTTGCGAACTTTTTGAATTCACAACGAAAGTCTGTCAAGCGTATTATTTTGGAAACAGGATTGCTACGAAGCAGGGCAATTTTGAAAGAAATCTACAAGTTGAGTTGGTGCCAATCATAAATTGTTCGACACGATTCAAATTCACAAGTGAAAAGTTTCAGTGTTTCAACTTGAAAACACAAAAGAACTTCCTTGAAAGCTTTTAGCAAAATTCACAATTAAACTGTCTGTCGCTGAATTACGGCCAAAATGGGCGGCACTTACAAAAACTATTATCTGAAATGCTGTAAAATGTGAGACAGTTCGTCGACTTTAATGCTGTGTTTTACAGGCGGGTGTGTTTCTCTGAATGGCCCGACGGTATGACTACGCAGTCTCAGCTCGAATACTGGTACGTAGTCTTTATATACTACTCGGGTTTCTGTATTTGATTTGATAATGCCTACGAAATCCTCTTAATTTAACAAAACTGCTATGTTAATTCAAATTCACTTTAAATTGTTTACATACTAAAATTTTTAGAACAAAAAAGGTATAATGCATCAGTATTTAACATGACATCATGCCTTTTATCCCCGAAGGTAAAGGCAGAGGGGCACATTACGGCACTTAATGCCACTGTACAATGTAACACCCACTTTTCACTATTTATGTTATGAGTCCCATGTAATAGGGGGTGGGTCTATCGCCATATACCGGGCACATTTTCAGACTCCGTACTACTACTGAGAATTAAAAAAATCCATCAATACTTTGCCCGAATCGGGACTGAGAGTGCGACTGGCCAAAGAGGCAGTCATCAGTATTTGTAATAAATAAAAAATATGAATAGGTGGACGTCATTGGGGGAGGAAGACGTATATTCAGTAGTGATCATGTTGGGACTGACATGATAATCAAGTTTATACTTTTTCTAATACAATCTAACTACACAGGTACAACGTGGCGTTCATGGTGCTCACGTACTTCTTACCCATCATGTCGATGACGTACACTTACTCCAGGGTGGGCATCGAGCTATGGGGCTCCCAGTCCATCGGGGAATGCACACAAAGACAACTGGATAACGTCAAAAGTAAACGGAGGGTATGTAGCCTATCCATACCTAATGATATAATTTAATTTTGTAGTAAAAATGTTATTGCTAGATTTGCAAACTAGAAAATTTATGCCGGAATACTGAAACGTTACTCAATTTTAAGTCGTGCTAAAATATCGTGCTATCTCTGTCATTTTACAAAAAATTTGTGGTGACAGAACTATACTTAAGCGCGACTTAAAATTGAGTAGCGTTTCAGTATTCCGACATTAATCTCTCAATCTTGTTAACACTTACTTAACTCAATATTTTTTCTTGGATACCCTTTAATGTATATATAGAGGTATATATAAAAAAACTGTAGAAGTGTAAACTCTGTACATTGAATATATAAAAAAATAAAATAGGTGGAATGTCACTAGATAAATATCGAACTCAAATAAAGTGATTACAATTTTTTTTGTATCTGTCTTTATGTCCACGTACGGTATGATTGCAATGAAACTTGATATGGTTATACTTTAATATCCTAGGCAAACCACTGAGTACTTTTTATTCCGAAAAAGTACATACACAAAAAACAAACTTAATTGTGCGGCTCAATTCCTGGAGCTAGTTACTGTACTAAACACAAATATAAGTTTGTCGAACTGGCCGCAATGTACTTTACGCTGTAGGTACTTATAGGGCTGGTGGTGGTTGAAATTGGCTTGAACGGATATTCTAAATGTGAAATTATGTCGCGGAGAACCTAAGTCGCGGAGAACCTAACGGGTAACCGGGGCTCCGGCTCGAAGCGCATGAGAAGGAACGGGGTGATTTTTAGTCAGTAAGAGTCTGACACTCCCTTCCGCCTCACCCAGGCGGGAGCAGTCATTCGATGATTTTCCCCCCTTAAAAAAAAAAAGTGAAATTATGTGAATGTGTAAGTTTGTTACTCAGTCACATCAAAACGGCTGAAGGAAACGAGATAAAACTTGGAACAGAGGTAGATTATATAGTCTGGAGTAATACATAGGCTACTTTTTACCCCTGGGGACGCGGGCGAAGTCGCTAGCAGAAGCTAGTTCAGAATATAAACATAAAAATACCGAAAAAAAGGTTACATAGCTTGACTAAAAAGTGTGTACACAGTGCCTATGTAAATAAAAAATGAATTGACTGCTTCAAAAAGGACTTCCTCGTTGTAAATTACCGTGAACATTTCGTAATGATATAAAAATCTCATTTTACAACAAGCTGGCTTTGTTTGAAATATATGGGAATTCAATAAAAGCAATCTTGTCTATGCTAACGAATCACACGGTACAGTGCGAACTCATTTCACGCCGATATTTACATGCGTTTGATATGTAAATATAATAATTTGCTGTCTAAAGAAAGTAAGGAAAGTTTATTGAGAGATACTCGGAGAACTTAGTAATAATGTTGTACATAAACCAATACTTTTGTAACAATACATATTTAAGATACATATATGGTACTTAAAACTTATTGAAAGGCAACATAACCTATGTAGGTATACTGTCATATTTCTATACAATCCTAGAGTTGAAAACTCTCAAAGCTTATTAAAATATCTTGGATAAACATTTTCATCGTCGTTTTAATAAAACCTCTCCTAAACTCCTAAGCGGTTTCGACGACCGCTTTTCGCGGCCCCAGCACTTACTTAAAACCGTATTGAAATATTACATCCCAAGTAAATTAAACATCTTATCTTTAATCTATTGTCTTCCTTTCTTAATAATGGATTTCGTATTGTTCGTACGGGATCCTTTTTAAAGAAATTGATTTCCCTCGGGTTCGTGACCTTCCCTTGCCAATATGTGCCCGCCTAAACTTGCAACAGTTTCAAATGATTTGTTTATGCCTGTGCGTAAACAAACTTGGCAACAAGTCGGAATATTTTATGCCGTGTATTGAATAACTATTTCATGCGTGTATTCGTTCACCTTGCTTGTTTCCTAAAACACAAATATGAGTGTGCATTTTTAAATAATAATGTTTCTGTAACAGGTTGTGAAAATGATGATCGTAGTCGTGGTGATATTCGCCGTCTGCTGGCTGCCGTTCCACGTCTACTTTCTGGTGACGTCATACTACCCAGACGTGGTCAACTATCCTCACATCCAAGAAATATACCTGGGCATCTACTGGCTCGCCATGAGTAACTCCATGTACAATCCCATCATTTACTGCTGGATGAACTCCAAGTAAGTTTTCGGAAGTGTAAAACTTTTATTGCGTAAGAATGATTATAATCCTTGAACCGTGAATAAACGCCTTGTGAACTCCAAGTTATTGGAGGAAACTTTATTGGTTTTACTTTTATTACCTTTTTTGCTATATTCCGTCATGACTTACGAAGAAAAAACTGCTGGTCTGAAAATAAATCAACCTAATATCACGGTCCAGGTAACTAGTACTGGAAATACCAAGTTACTACTCATTATTTTTACCCTATTACATTTTCTGAGAAGATTTTATTATAAAATACCAGCGCTTAATTTTATATTTAGTCATTGATTTAATTAGTCATAACTTAACAAGATTTTTATATTATACCTTTCGTGAGACATACTAAATTAATTATTATGTTTCGACTAGTTTCAAGCTATATTAGAGGCTCATATTCATGAGCAGTATTCCGCGGCACAGCTCAAATATTGCGAATGCTGCTCAAGAATATGATATATCCGAAAACATACAATTAATTAACAAGATTTTATTAATATTGTTCTGCACAGGTTTAGAAGAGGATTCAAGCAATTCTTCTGGTGTTGCGGCGCATTTGGTGGAGTCGGGTTGGACAGGCGCAGGGGATTCGGGACAGAGCGGCTCGACAGATCGGTGCGATCCTTATCTCCTAGCAGGAAGAATGGTACCAGTAAGCTGATGAAAACCCATTATTTAGTCATTTTTAGACAATAGTTTGCTGTAGATGCTTATCATAGATATTTTGGTTCGATTGGTAATTCATTTTTCGACCACCTCGAAACATGGATTTATTTATTACATTTTTAATACGTTTAACTATTACCATGCTCATATGACATAATCCATTTTATCTGATCAAAAGCATATTAAGGAATCATTACGATGTCATTGTCTTCTACAATCATTGAACACATTCAATAAGTTATCAATATTCTCCCCGTCAACACGATACAACTTTTCTCCATATCTTTCTCTAGCTAGAATGGTTTAATGTTCAACAAATAATGAGTTCAATTCATGGAAAGGAATTTCTTCTTCATAGGTTTATTCAAGACGACAAAATTCATCAAAAACCCACCTCCTGGCTCTCCCCACTTGCTCCATGCAAATAAAATACACAAGTAAGAAATACTGAGGAGCCAAGTTCAGTTATTTTTGTCTGACCTTATCGATGTTATAGAACGAACTAACATGACACACTCGTGATAGCTTTGAATACGTCAGTAGTTAAGCTCTTTTCTTTCGGTTCATCATACCCTTTTATCTTTCTTTTGCTTTCCCATAGCTTTCTTCCTTAGATGTTTCAAATGATCCAGCGGCTTCTTCATTGTCTACAACAGCGACTATTACCATTTTACTGTTTCTGAATAGTAGTCATTGATTGTTACTGTTATTAGTGGAGTCTGAAATTATGGTTACTGATTATGGTAAATTTTCCGCAGGCACTATCCGAATTTCGATGCATAGCACTTACAACCAGACGCTGGTGAGCACAGCCTGACAGCGGCGCGGCGCGGGCGGCGCGGGCGGCTCGCACGACGCGTGTGACGCGCACGGCCCGCACGCGCCGCACGCCACGGAGCGCACGTGGATATGACGAGAGAGCCGCGGCCCGCGCGTGCCTCGCACCCCGCACGACCTCTACGCATAGACACTCGCACGACGAAACTGACGCCGCAGCGTTATAAACGTTTGCTGCTGTAATATGTGTTAGACATTGTAAGTGGTAAACTAGTCAAGTATTGCATAGAAAACGTGGAGGTTAAGAAGACTTTTTTACAAGTAAATATTACGTATAAATGTTAACAGAAAACCTAACGTAAACATTATTTTGGGCAACACGTCCATTGTGTTCAATACATCCTTTATTCTGATTGTTTCACTTAACGTTTTAATATTACATGTACAAGATGTTTTTGTAATTGTACTGATTATTTCTTGTTTCTTCGTCAAGCGAATTACAAAAGAAAAGTCCTAAAACAAAATGGATTTATACGAAAGTTTCAATGGATTAAAACTGTCGTAAATATTGTAAATGTAATTAAACCACTGACTTGATTTAACCGCATTTTGTTATTTGATTAATTATGTCTAAGTCACGATTATTTAATGTTAGTTTAAGTATTCGAAAACAGTGTTTAATAATCGCTCTAGGATAATGGCAAGGTGTTGGATCAAAGGGATGAAAAGTATTGTTCACAATTAATATTGATGAATTAAGTTACCAACTTTGAGCTTGATTTAATGAAGATTAACAATGAAAATAATTTTCTATGAAAGAGTTTTATAAAACGATTGAAGATAAGTTGTGTATGAAAAATGTTATGAGGAATGTATATTGTAAATAAAATATGATATTATAAGTAGAATTGTAGATTAATATAATAATATTATTTAATAAAATGTACAGATTTTATAAGTATGTAATGAAATGGTACTTATTGCCGAATATGTAATTGTAATATACTTTAAAGTAGAATTAAGTTACACTCTCACACACAATGTCATTTTAATTAGACGACCAAGCATTTTATGTAAAGCTTGCTTATAATGATTATGTCAAATGAAATATTTAAGTTCTCTTAAAACAGCGTAGTTAGTTAATACTGCAGGAGGACAAAAGACTTAGTCACAAATATTTTACCGCAAAATACTTTTAAACTTAAATTTAAACTGAGTGCTGCTTTAAAATTCCTACTCAAATGCAAAAATGTGCACGATTTACCTGGAAAAAGTAAACTAATGTTTAAAGTCTCCGTTTCTTACGAATTAAGTTTTGAAAGCATCCAAAGAGTCTTTTAACATCTAAAATTGACCAACTAGGTTCCTTCAATTGAATGTTTTAACATGTTTCTTGCAGTTTGGAACCCAGTTTTGTATAATTAAAATACGCCTATGAGCTTAAGTTTTTAACTTGAATCTAAATGTAATCTTCAGAGTGTACCTCACTCTGAAGTCTATTTCGTTCGGCCCGAGGTAAAATGGTTGTATTGGTAATATCACTACATAGTATAAAACAAAGTTGCTATCCGCCGTCTGTCTGTCCCTATGTATGCCTAGATCTTTAAAACTACGCAACGGATTTTGATGCGGTTTCCTTTAATAGACAGAATGGTTCTTGTATAACACATGCATAATCTACACGTGCAAAGCCGGGGCGGGTCGCTAGTAAAGAAATAAAATATTTAAAACCAAAAATATCTGGTATCATTGCAAAAAGCAAACTTTGAAAGCGCATACGAACTCATAGTCCATAATCAATACATGTCGTCATGTAATTCTCGAAGAGGTATTTCTCGTCGAGTGGCACGTGCGATACGAATAGTGCGTACGAATTTACGTCTAGTGTTTCATGTGCGTAATTCCATGATTTTTTTATTAAGAAAAAAATAAATATTGCACCTTTATTTTATTTTTTTTTACTTGAAACATTGACAGCGCCTACTCATACTCCTTATGGCTATCAGTTTTGCCGCGGAACGAAAACGGAATAGATTTTACGGTGTATAATAGATAGTTAAAGATAAAATTCGTAAGTACGAGGTAAGGAAGAAATAGAAAAAAACATGTAACTACAATATTTTTTGACCCACACAGGTGAGATGTGTTATTACTGACCAGGCAAACTGTTAGACGAAGTTCTTTCTCAATGCATTTTTATATTCAAGATCTTCGAGTCAAACGCATTGTAAGCAAACTTTTTTTTATGGCATAAGCCGGTAAACGAGCAGCCGGATCATCTGATGGTAAGCATGCAGCGGCGCCCATGGACACCTGGAATACCAGAGGCGTTACAAGTGCGTTACCGGCTTTTTGGGGATTAGGAGTTTGAGGATCGTTGGGTATTCAGAGATTGTGGAGATTGGGGAAGGGGAGGGTGATTGGGCCTCCGGTAACCTCACTCACACGACGAAACACAACGCAAGCGTTGCTTTACGTCGGTTTTCTGTGAGGCCGTGGTATCACTCCGGTCGAGCCGGCCCATTCGTGCCGAAGCATGGCTCTCGCACACGTTATTAAAATACAAGTGAAAATCTCATGTAACTCACGTTTTGCTAGACAATGTAAGGTAAGTCAGTAAAAGATATTTAAATCCTTTTCGTATTTTCCTTTGAACAAACAAACACGCTTTCAGAAGGCATTCGTATGCACTGCAGTCGTGATCCGAGTGACTATTTACCGATACAAAAATCCGAGTGCATAATCCGTAGTGAATCGAAACTCGAAAACAGTACCTACACATTCAATACGAAACCCCAATATGAAAACCGATATTGAAACGATTTAATCTCTGTGCTCTTTTCATTGTTATCCAATACCTCTTTATTTCACGAATCAAAATATCTGTGTGTAATACCCAGTGATAAAATTAATAAATTAATGCTTGATATCTATTGTAATAACATAATTCCTGGGTAGATTAATTATCTAAAAGACAATAGACTGAACCATCTGAAGCCAGGTCTGCAACAAGATTGCTCGGATAATTAAAGTTATAATGAAACACAAAGAAAGGAATTTGCGAAGAAATTTAATCGTCACGATTACCGGGATTGTAGTAAATAAATAGAATTATACTTAGGACTGCCTCATTGGCCGAGTGGTCGCAAATGCGACTGCCGGGCAAGGGGTCTCGGGTTCGATTCCTGAGTCGGTCAAAGTACCTATTACTGGGTTTGTAAAAACCTCAGTAGTAGCTCGGAGTCTAGAAATGTGCCCGGCAATAGGCTCACCCCCTATTACATGGGACTCATAACATAAATGTGAAAAGTGGGTGTTACATTGTACAGTGGCATTAAACTGTCAAACACCAAGCGGTCACCGGTGACCGCGACCTATTGTTCTTTAATTGTGTCTATAAAACCGGTACTCGACGAGTTAAGTGCCGTAATATGCACCTCTGCCTATCCCTTCGGGGATAAAAGGCGTAATGTTATGTTATGTTATGTTATGCTATACTTAAGAATGTTCCTATACTGCAATATTAAATGTCCTTGTTGTTAAAATTCCAAAAAAAAACTACCCAATTTGTCAATGAAAGTATCTACAATTTTACTGAAAGTCAAGTCCACTCGACACGCTTGCTTGGCGATAAGTTCGCGTACGTTTTGAAACTCCTGCCTTGTATCACTTTTAATGATGTTCGTACGGACAAAAAATCTGGTTCATATAAACTGAATGTCGACATCTTTTTCAACAAATCTTGAATAACTTCGAAGGTTAAATATGCTCGTTATAACAAACAACAAACTTAATATGTAATGTCGTCCAATTTGAAGAAACTTCATGTTGCGCAGTTCTATGTTGATTGGTAATAAACGCATTGTATATATTATATATTCATCAGAAGTTAAGTAGTTTAAGATTAGGTATCCTAAGACTGCTTACCGACCCTGGCATAGTATGAAAAACTTCGTTGTAGAGAAACCTTATTTTCCAATATCTTAGGTATGATACCTAATAATATATTTAAGCTCTAAGCTACGTACCATTACTATAATACTATACTAAGTTACTCGTATACGTAAATATGTATGTAAATAATAAAACTACATGTAAATATATTTTTTATGTAAAATGTAACGACATCTTGTATTTATTGAACGTTTAGAAACTCTATGTGAAATTGGAAAAATAAAATTCATGATTATTTTATCTTGAGTTTCATTTAGGAACAGACTTCTATGAAATCCTTAAGTAAGTACTAGCCTAAGTAATGGATACTACTTATAACAAGGACTTGAAATAATTTATTCTAAAATATTCATCGAAACTTCAAAATGGCCGCGTAGACGCCTAAAAGAATCTACTTAGCCTCTTAAGTCCAAGGGAATAATGTAAATCTCCGTGAGAAACGTGGAAAATATACATTACCCTCTTACACTGAGAACAAACCTCAAAGGAAAATAGCTAATGTTCTGAAAACCACAAAGGGGTCCATTTCGCCGCATCTGGTCAATTCACTTCACGCTATGTGGAGCGTGCAGGGCCTCTACATACATATATGAACGCAATCAATTTTCGCTTAATGTAATGGTGGTCGTGCCTCGCCCTTTGGTAAGTTTCCCGCTTCTGAAAAAGTAACTACACTTGCGACACGTGAATCGCCCCGTTTCATACATATTTGAACATTCGCAGTGACTGCAGTAACTGGATAGATTTCTTGTACCTATAATTATGATTATACATTTTATACATTTACCCTATTGAAAAATATAAACTAAATAAAATGTATTAATAATTCTTTAACTCTCACACTTTTTTGAAGTCGGTTAATTAATACCTCTATACTACAACCTCCTCCTAAGTGTAACAAACGCTTTTCTGAAAACCGTATCAAATTCGGTTCAGTTAATTGTGAGATATTCTCGCACAAACATACCTCCTTTTTAAATTTGGTTAAATACTTAGTCGTTAATTTACCAGAGTAAAATAGATCAGCTAAATTCTGATTTATGAACACAATTCCTATTTATAAAATATCAATTTGTAGAACATTTTTGTGTCACGTAATCGAGAGCA